TATTTATTTATTTACAGAGAAGGTGATTAATATCATCATCTGCTCCTGGTGTTGTTCCTTCTTTCTTTATTCTTGTTTTTCTTTACACCATGACACTCTCTCCACAGTGGTCTAACGCCGTTGTGGTCCGCTCAGAGGATGGAACGATCGTCCAAACACAACAGAAACGCCCGGCGGCAGGCACTTCGGCGTCTTCCTCTGCAGGTCCACGGCCCATCATTGTGCGGCCGCGGGATCCTCGTCTCTTTACAGCCGCAGCTGCAGCCTCAGCGGCTTCTCAGCAGAACAGCAATAGTGGCGATCCTGCGGGAATCTCCGGTAGCAGTCATAACAACAGTAGCGGAACACCATTCCTGGCATCCCTGTTGGTGGGGCGAGATGTAGTAGAGACGTTTTGGATTCCCGATCCAAAGCGAAATGAAATGGGATTGTTAGAGTCTATGCATCGCCGTACGGCGGCCAATCGCACACATGTACTGCTGCAAAGTCGACCATTACCGGAACTACAGTTTAACTTTTCCACTTGTACAGGTGATAATATTGATCTTTCCCATGAGGCATTCCGTCTCTCCAAGACATCAATGGCCATCTTGCAGATGGAACGTAATTTGTCTGATGGAGCTGAAGTTGTCATGCGGTTTGATGCCGATCCTCATGGGACGACAAGTGGAAGTAACAGCAGCAATCATAATCATAATAATAATAGTGGTAGTGTAAATCAAGCACGTTCTCGTCCAGGTGGTATTTCTGGTAAAGTCTTTAAAGATCAACTACGGAATGGTTTACGTTCTCTTCATGAGGAGGAATATTATCTGGTACGATATCGTGATTACAGTCAATGGGCAGTGCAGCAGTACAGTGAAATTGCAAAAAAAGATCATTTCTGGGGTAAAAAATATGTAGAACAGTGTTTTGCCGTTCACGTGGGAAAAGAACCTGGAGAACTCATTCCCATTACAGAGGCACAATTCCTCTTTGGTGTGGAACTTCTTCAGCGTTATTTACTGGAACAGGTAGGTATGAATACCCCTCAAAATATTAATTACACCTCTTTAAGCAAAGATCAATTTCGATCTCTTGGGGTTATTCTCGGTGATGGTATGCGGCCTGTTGGTGTGGAAGGCGAGGAATATCAACGCCAACGTCGTGAAGAAGAAGAAGAAGCGGAAAGAAGACGGGCCGCAAGTGCTAATGCCAATATCTATGTACCTCCCAGTATCTGGGATTGGACTCCAGGGGCTATAAAGAAACGTATTAATCATCAATTACAATCGCATTATCAGGCACTTGGACGTTTTGTGGTTCGAAGTACGGTGTTGGCTGTGGGTGTATATATAGTTTGGTCGTATGTGCGGCGGGCCCTTCCGCAGAGTCCCACTTCAGATCCACGACCTGTACAAAGAAACCGGCGAAGTAATAATTACTATCCAGAGGATACAGACGCATTTACGCCTAGTGGATTATTTCGTAGTGTTTTACTGGGTCCAAAGGAAGTTTTTGACTACCTTTTGGCTCCTGCTAAATAAAGTCAGTCTTTTTCTTTTCTTTTCGTTGTGTTGTGTTGTTGGCGTTTTTCTTTTTTTTGCGCGGGTGTCTCCCAATGTGCGTTTGTTCTTATTTCTGTATGAATGAGAGAGCGAGAGCGAGAGAAAGAGAAAATGTGAAGAGTAGAAGAGATAAGAAATGTAGGGATTTTATTATAGATGATGTTCTCTTCTCTCTTCAAAATTCTTTCATTGTTTATTATTATTATTATTATTATTATTATTATTATTATTATTATTATTATTATTATTATTATTTATTCTTCTTAATAGAAGAAGGAATCACGGCCTGTAGTGATGGAATATTGATACTCTGCTGTTTCACAGTCTTCTTTGATTTCATTATTTCGTAGATATGCTGGTATTGCCCTATTTCACCACACCTTATATATGTGATGAACGCGTAAATAATACTTGTACTCATATAATGACTATTTCTCCAGCAACGCAATAAGAAGAAGAAAAAAAAGAAAAGAAAACGAAAGAGTCATCCATAACAGAGAGCTTCACCCATACACTGGGTGACAAATGCAAATACGGAAGAGAAATAAGATAAACTCTCTCTCTCTTTCTCTCTAAAAATAGGGGTGTATATAAACCTCTCTCTCTCTCTCTATATATATATATATATATATATATATGCATGCATTCCCCATTTTTTCTATTCTTTTATTTTTTTCTTTCTTTCACACGTACACACAATTATATCCAGATTGCTTAGTAAACGTAGATTAGTCTTTCAACCAGACATATATATATATATATATATATATATATATACAAACACACAAACAGTCAAACACCTACCTAACCTACATACCTACTCATATTCCATCAATCCATCCATCATGTCTGCCACAGCTGCAGTGGAGCGGCCTGCGCCTTCTGTGTTGCCCCCTGCCTATCAATATGTCCCCGCTCATGTGATTCGCCGACAGCCCCGCGTAGATGTGGTGGAGTTGGATATTCCAAGTGTATACCAGTCAGAGGCCACAGAGCTCAGCACCGCCGTCTCCACCCCCCGCTCACTCGCCAAGATGCGGGAATCCCCAACAAAGGGAAGTACACACAAATCAAAGAAACGCTCCAGCTTTGAATCTAGAAAAATGGCAAGTTGGGTCACCACCACCACAAACACGACCGTCTTTCTCCCAACGGCACGAATACAGGTGCGATCCGTGCCGGAAATATTACCACCATCTCCCTCACCACAACCACAACCACAGCAGGAGTATTTGTATGGTGGAATGAGTAGTGATTCTCGTACGGATTCCATTCCTTTAATCACATCTGGAAGTGTAGGTGGGACGCAAACGCATAGGGCAGAAGGTAAAAAAGCCCGCGCTTCATCCTTTACACACTTTTAGAGTAGACGATATGATCTCTTTAACAATATTGATGACTGGTAAGGTGAACCGGGAGAGAGGAATGCAACAAGTGGAGAAATAAAAATTCTTTAAAAAAAAGAAAATAGCAAAACTGTAAGGATATAAATAAATAAATAAATAAGTAAATATAAATATGTGTGTGTGTTTTGCGTCTCTGTATATGACCATATTCTATAAACACTGCACGCTGCTGCCTGTAGGATAATGGGGAAAAGAAGATTCAGTTCTCTTCCTTATTGAACTTATTCTTGACTCACTCACTCACTCTTTCTCCTTATTGTAGTCATAATGAAGCAATCCCAAAGTGGGTAAAAAAAAAAAAAGAACTGACAGATATATATTAAATCTGTACCCGATTTAATTAAGTATAAATGTGAAGAATGATGACAAGAGCTGTGTGAACAAGATTTGTATGTATGTCTCTTTATAAGTGTTTGTAGTCGTGTGGACTTTTGCCACAACTGCGTTACTGTATTATTATTATTATTATTATTATTATTATTATTATTATTATTCATTAGCGAAAGAGAGAAAGAGAGGGAGGAAGCATTTTTCTTTGGTACTTCTTCTTTTTGTTTTGTTTTTTTCCGCATGGTAACACCTTTGTTTTCCATTTCTGCATTTCCTTTTTAGTGTACTTGTATCTTCCAGTGGTGGTTGGCGTATTTTGCCTATTAATGTGAGTAGACAGAGAACCATTTGATCTTTGTTACTGTGAACTGCTGTCAGTGTTGAGTGTGTTTCTTTTCTTTTTTATTTTTCGCCAATTCCATTCTACTGACTGCATACGTACATTACAAACGGCTTTTTGCATTTCATAGTGTAGATATTTTAATTTTTCTTTTTTTGCTCTTCTCACCACCGTTTGCGGTCTCTTTTTTGTTTTTTGTTTGTTTGTTTGTTTAAATTCTTTTTCTTTCCTTCTCATCTCTGTGTGTATGATTATGAACTCTATTTCATTTTTTTTTTTCTATTTCATTTTTTCCTGGTGGTTTTTTCCTTCATTTTTTTGTATAAGTGCGTAAAATAGAGAAAAGTGGCAGAAATAGTAATTACGCCAAATACATCAACGGAAATAAATAGACTCGCAAGTAAAGGTCTACAATAAAAAAAAAGTCCATACAGAAAGCCGAAGAGGAAAAAAAATAAAAAAAAAAAGAAAGAAAGTCAAAAAAAAAAATAAAAAAAAAGGAATTAAAGGCAAAATAAATAAATAAATAAATAAATAATAATAACGACGATAAAACAATAACACCGCGAAGGATCTCAAAAATCTACCAGAGGAATGGCTTCGGTACAGCAAAGTCTGGGCGGATCTCCCAGCAATATCTCCACCTTATCCCAACACTCTAAACGACAACGATATCATCATCATCCTCAACAAAATCATCATAATCAACATAATCAACAAGAACAACCGGAACCGGAACCAGGGAAAATTTACCATCTACACAGAGTACCGCGAGTGGATGTGGTGGAGATGCAAATTCCTGTGGTGAGTGCAAACTTCCCACCCACTCGTGGAGAAATTAGTACCAAAGAGTCGGGTCTGTTGCCAACCTTGGAACGCGGTACAATACCGGGAGTCTCATTTGATGATTGCAATCTCTCAACAGTGGGAAGTGCCAGCATCGCATCTACACATCGTCGTATGAAAAAGTACACAACAACTACCATCACAACCACCACAATCACAAAAATTATACTTCCACATATGAGTCAGGTACTTCCATCCGATGGTAATAACCGATTGCCTCCAGAGAAGATATTAATGTGTATTGAGGGTCAGGGAAGTGGGAATGTTCCCAACTTAAACAATAGTGATAATGTTGGAGGCTCTCAACTCCAAAACGGTGATGGACATATCTATTCACGTAATTCTGAGCAACAACAACAGTTGGAATGGGGCGGTGAAACTATGCCTGCTTCTAATGAGACTCCGTTGAGAGCAAATCGTCATCAGGGCCAGAATCTATCGAATCCAAACAACAGCAGTACTCAAGAAAGCTCCGATTCACCAAACAGCCACGATGGCGGTGCCTTACCATCAGGGCAGTTGGTCCCACGCGCAGAGCCATTACTTCCGCAATTGCAGGTGCAGCAACCTTGGGTATTTAACCATCAGACCGTTAGCAAAACGACCTCCGTATCTCGTCAGCCACCTTCCCTCTCCTCAGTTCCGAGAAATGAGAAACAGGGTACATCATCTAATGGTAGAGAAGTATATGGGGATTCCCAGAACACGGGTACCCCACCTCATTCACAATATCTTCTCAACAATCCTGCTCCAGGTGGTAATGAGAAGATGGGTGAAAACGAGCAGCAGCCATGGATTCTAAATGAAGAAAAAACCCAGACGGAGTGGCATATTACAGATTAGTCTTTTTTTTTTTTACTTATCTATGGTATATATATATATATATATACTCTATTCATCGTTTCTTTTTGTACGATTATCTTCTGTATGGTATTTTCTTTTCCTCTACCCTTGCTCTTCATCTTTACTTCAAAGAGAAAGAAGTTAAAGAAGAAAAAAAGGGCTAAAATCAAAAAAAAATAAAGAAATAAAAAAAAAAAAAAGAAAGCATGAGAAAGAAGAAAAAAGGAAAACCGATTAACTGTATTTTGACAGGATAATCTGATTGAATTTGGGAATGGATTGTATAGGGACTAAAGGAGGGGAGGGGGGACCAAGAACGGCAAAAAAAAAAAAGAAAAATGACAGTTTCATCGTCTGTCTTTTCCTTCCCATTGTTGTTTTTTTTTTTTTTTCATGTCCTATTATTTATTTTTGACAGTTTTTATTTTCTGTTTTCATTGTTGATATCAGGTAGGGGAATGGGTGCGGGGTTTTTTTTTTTTGCATTTTCCGACGAGGTAAAGCACAACAACAACAAAAAAGAAAGTGTTTTTTTTTGTTTGTATATATATCTCTCTCTACCGGTGCCCCTTCTTCTTAGGAGAGTTAAAGCAAAAGGTGGAAATATGTTTTCTTGTTGCTCTTTAGCATCTGTATAAAAAAAAAAAAAAGAAAAAAAGCGATTTCCACCACTCCCCCCACCCCCTTCCCATTCTCTCTGTTTCTCTATTTGTTTATCTCGTACATACTCTCTCTTTTTTGTATTGTCATTGCAATATATTACACTAGGTGTACGCTATCTACTTCTTTCTTCACGTTTTTTTTCTTTTTTTTTTGTGTGTGTACCTCTGTTTTTATCTGTTTGCTGTTTCCTTCAGAGAGAACCATGCATTCTGTTGAGTTAATTTGTTAGTTTGGCTGTATTTATATATATGTGTATGTGTATGTGTGTATGTATGAATTTTCTTCTTAAAGGAAAAAAAAAAAGAAAAAATGTTTCCTCCTTCTTTTCCGTCGTTCTTTGGTGAATTCCAAATCATATATATATGAACTCTGTAGGACGAGATATAATCTTTTTGTGAGAGTTCATTATAAACAGAGTGTATAGTGACCACTACACGGGATGGACGGAAAAAAAAAAAGAAAAAAGAAGAAGCAACAAAAAGAATGAAAGAAAATAGGTACTCTTATTCACCTACCAAATGCATACGTTCTGTGCGTTTTATTATTATTATTATTATTATTATTATTATTATTATTATTATTATTATTATTTTCCTTCTTTCTTTTTGAATGCGGAAGGCAGGACCTATTTGTGGGTGGGGTGCATTGCTCCTTTCCTTTTGTATATATTTCTTTCATACTCCCCCTATTAGTGGTAGAGATGTGTAGTTAAAAGTTGAAATGCATAATGGTTGTATTCTAGAAAAAAAAAAAAAAAAACTGACAGCATTTGCTGAATTGTTTTGTTGTTGTTGTTGTTTCTTCGCGTGTTTTTTTTTTTTTTTCTTTTGTCTGAGATACATCTTCTTTCTCTCATTTTTCTTGTTTTGTTTTTCTTTCTACTATTGATATTCTAGACACATAGGTAAAAGTAAGATAAAGGAAAGAAAAAAAAACTCTTTTCCTCTCTCTCTCTCTCTCTCTCTTTTTTATTCTTATTTAATTAAATATAATCATCATCCTGACGTGCTTATTTATTTTTTTTTGTTTTTTTTTCTTATCAAAACACATTTGGGGTGCTCTATTAATAGAAATTAAAGAAAAGTGATTTGAAAGGGGGGAGGGAAACACATAAATGATCACCACTGGTATTATTGTTGCTATTGTTGTGGTTGTGGTTCTCTTTGTTGTGACTGTATGTATTGCAGGGTTTTGTTTCTACAGGAAAAAAATCCTTGCTAAAAGAAGTCAAAGAAGAAGTGTAAACTCAGATTTTCCTACTAATGTTAATGATGACCATAAGAAGGATACTAAATCCCAAGATGGTTCCAATAATCTACAAAAACAAACAAAACCACCCTATTTCCCTAATAATACGGACTCCAGTAGTTCAAGCAGTGGTCTTAGTGGTTTTACTTCAACTGATTCTTCTGATGTTTCTACTAATGCTGAGAATGATAAATCAAAGTCACTTTTAAAGTTATGGTCAGAGGTATTATCTACAACAACTTTTGGACCCCTTGTGGAGTCTCTCGAAGGAAGTAGTTCCTCAAGTTCTTTATCTGCTCCCCATGTAAAGACAGAGAAAGTAATATATGAACGGGAAGAGAGAAAAGAATCACTGGGTGAAACAGAATCCCTTTATTCTTTGGTGGAAACATCAAGAAGAAGGGATAGAGCTTTTTCAAGGAACAAAGAATATACGGCGGAATATCGCAAAGGTGACAAAACACGGGATTTACATCCTTCTGTGTTTGATGATGTTTCATATTCACAAAGACAGCTTGTTTTCTTCGATATTCCGTCGGGATCTGACAATTTGGATGGGTTCACCTTAGGTGAAACCCAAAGTACTGCAGATGGAGAGGGAGATAGATTTGGTATTGAGAGGGAACTCACATTGTCAAATTCCCCTTCAGACTTGCTGTTCACACCTGTTGTATTATTGGTAAAGGATGGTAGTATTGGTGGTAATGATGAAAAATATGAAAAGGAAGAAAAAGAAAAAGAAGAAGAAGGCACCTCAGTGGATATTTGGCAATATGGTGACTCAGTAAACGAAATGAACGAACAAGGGTATTCTTCTCGTTATGATTTATCTATGAAAGGTTCCTCTTCTTTGATGGAAAAAAAGACCACATTGTCTTTTGATACTCCAATGGTGGGAATTTTTCTGTTGGGTAAATCCTATATGAGAGAGAAGGAAAAAGCAAGAAGAAACACTACTGTTAATAAACATTTCTTCCATAATCTACAAGGAGCGGCGCAAGCACCTTATGGAGGTGTATCGCCTAATGGACCCTTCTTGGGTAAAGATGATCCTAACATGGATTCTTTCCCAGTAATCATAAGTACAAAAAAGAATGAAGATTCTTTTAATGTTTTTTATGATTCAACAACAAGTTTTTCCGATTGTTTGATATGGAAATCCCCCAATTCTGCAGATAAGCAAGATGGGAATTGGCTTTCTAAACTTCCAAGTGAGAAAAAAAATTCTTCCAATTCACTATGGTCCTTCAGTGATATGTTATCAAATAGCAGGAGAATTAATAGGTGGGTGAGGATGGAAAATTACTACAATCAGGGTTGTGCAGATATCATACCTTCATCACCTCGTGAAAGACTGAGTATTGAGGATGGAGTCTCGCAGGAAGGTTCCATAACATCCGATCCTTACATGCTATATTTTTGTTGGTATGATCCATTTGATGTTAAAGGCGAAAGGGATCCTCGAAGAGAACCTTAAAAATAAAATAAAAAGGAGAGACAGGGGTTAGTAAACTAGGGCAATTATTTCTCTGAAATGGACCATCTCTCGAATCTGATAATACAACGCTTTCTGATGAGGAGGTTTTACACCGAATCCCAATCCAAAAGAACCTTAGAAAGGAATTGGGCTGCGTAAGGGAAGAATAAAGTAGGGAAAGGGGGTAGGGCCTGAGTTGATTACATACCCCTTGAAGTGATCATTTTTTTTTTAATGACTTATAACGACTTTTTTTTTATTCCACCCTTTCTTTAAAAAAAAAAGAAAAATTATTATTTTTTTTTTTTCTGATAGTACAAAAACTCTATCATTATTTACTGACATAGTAACTTTTCCCTGCGGGTGATTTTTTATTTTTTTATTTATTTACATCTTCTTACCCCCCATGTTGTGGTTAGAAACGTTTCTTCACCCTACTAACATTTCAATGTAAGGTCAGTTTGAAGGTACGCTTTCGTTTGTTTTTCATTCTTTGTTTTTTTTTTTTTTTTTGATTCCATTCAAAAGAAGTATGTATTTTACATTCTTTTTTTTGGACCATTTACTTATCTCTCATTTATTTGTATTTGTGTTTCTCTTTAAGGTCATCTCCCACTTTACCCTTCCAAAAGGCGGAAAATGGGGCGACCCTTTGACAAGGTAAACGGGAAGAAGGTCTTTATTGATTTTTTTATTTTATTTTATTTTTTTTTCCTGTACTTCCGGCGTTTTGTTTTTCTGTTTTTATTTTTATATTTATTTTTTTCTTATGGTCGCATCGGCGGATTCCCTCTGGAGGCTTATGGGGTTGCAATTGATTGGTTCTTTTCGAAGTTCAGAAAAAAGGGGTTGGAGCGACAAAAAAAAAATTGTATGCTTGTAAACTGATTTCCCTATGTTTTTTTTTTTTTTTGTTTTCCTTTGCTGGGATTTCAAATTAGGCATCAAAAGAAAAGTAATTGTAAAGGTTTTTTTTTTTTTTTTTTTTTTTAGAAAGGGTGGCGCCGGCAGGTCTGTAAACATCGAATGCGGGAAGGGGGTGGGGGGTCTGGACCGGCGCCGCGGGGCCCCTCCGCTCGGATGGAGGGGAAGAAGGGCCCCCAAATTGGGGGAAAGCGAAGGCCGGCACGGTATTTTTCCCCACGATGCCCGGAGGGAATGGGGGGAAAAACGAAAGGAGGACGCCGGCAACGACACAACGGCGGGCGCCGAAAAAAAAAAAAAAAAATCCGTTCCCATGAAAAAAAAATGGAAAAATTCCAAAAAACATCCGTGACAGGACTCGAACCTGCAACCCTCTGATCCGTAGTCAGATGCTCTTCCATTGAGCCACACGGACCCAATCCACTACCTAGGAAAATAAATTTAAGGTTAATGCACATTTTTAGAACAGAGTAGAAAAGGGCAAAACCCGACAACGAGCCTCGAGCATTGCGCACGAAGACTGGTTGCCGGGTTTCATCCTTTTTTTTCCTCATCCTCACTCTTTTTTTTCTCTCAAGTTCAAAGTCCCTGAGCATGATATTTCAGGCCTCAAGGTTCAGCGCCTCGGGAAGTAAAGTGCCCCTCGAGCCCCGCCGAAGCGAAGCACGCCGCCCATGCATTTCCCCCCATTTGAAGAGGGAATTTAAGCGTTTGTGTTGGCGCCGTTTTGTTTTTGGTGTGCCCCGAAAATTCTTCTTCCCACTTTCGCCAAAAGAGGAAAAAAAGGGGAGAAACAACATTCTATTGCCGCAAACAATTCGCTCCCCACATTCTCAAATACATCCTCATATATTTCCCTGATAGTTTTTCGCCGCGCAAATAAAAAGAACTGGCGAAATGGAAGTGCGCTGGGGGGCCCTTTTAACCCGCAATCCCGTCAAGGCGGCGGCGGGGATTGGGTTGAATTGGCCTTCAAAAACCTCCATTTTTACACTGTTAGAATGAAAAAAAAATAATTTTACGAAACATTTGATTCCATTACAAAAACATTTGCATAATAACTTAAGACCCTTGACGATTCTTCTCTCAAGCTGTCAAAAAGAAAAAAAAACACCTCATACTAAAAGAAAATACTGTTTTCTAAACAATCCTTTCCTCATGCTGACGTCTTGGCATCGTTAAAAAAGACTACAAGCTGTGCATCCTCTGTGTCGTCTTGTGCCGCCACTTCATTTCCTTCTTCTTCCTCTTCCTCTTGAATTTGTCGCTTTCGGTGGTAGCAACAGTAAATGGGTATGCCAATGGCAGCGGCAATAGGTATCACAGAAAAGGAAAAAAGTAGAGCAGCAGGTAAAGTATTGCCATGGTAGGACGCAATAAGAAGACCAGCACCATACGTGATCATCACCGCGGCGCAAACGACGAGGACCGCGTCTGTCAGCACAAGTCCCGAGAGAAAGACCCACTTAGGCGCCCTCTGGCGGAAGCAGCAACATAGCCATAGAGTGAGTATGGTAGCAACAAGTGCCACCACTCCGAAGACCACAAGAAGGACTCCCTGCATTTGACCCTTTCTTATTACAGGATCCTCGCCTTCAGAAGTGATGCATAGTGGCAGTATGCCTAAGACCAGCAACGCATCGCCACCTCGGAGAATAAGAACACCCACCCAGTGCGACCAAAACGTTGCGACAGATGGTAGATAACGCCATTTTTTTTTTTTTTCCTTTACTTGCAGAATACTCTCCTCGTAGACCAAACTCAAGAGAAAAAAAAAGACGCAAGAGAACGAAATGAGGACAGGAAATCAAACATACTTCCCACACCACCCACTGCAGCCGAGAAGGGTACACACCAGCACACGGACTAGCATTTTTCCCCTCCCACTCCACTTTGTTCTTCCACACTTCCCTCAGTCACTGGACATGATGTTTCGGGCCTCGGGGCCCAAGGTGGCCCCTCAAACCCCACCCGAAATCAAGCATGCCGATCATGCCAACCCATGCATGTACTCCCATTTGAAGAGGGAAGAAAAGTGTTTGTGTTGGCGCTGTTTTGTTTTTGGTGTGCCCCGAAAATTCTTCTTCCCACTTTCGCCAAAAGAGGAAAAAAAGGGAGAAACAACATTCTATTGCCGCAAACAATTCGCTCCCCACATTCTCAAATACATCCTCATATATTTCCCTGATAGTTTTTCACCAAATAAATAACAGAACTGACAAAATGGAAGTACTGCGAAGCCCTTTTAACCCACCGATCAAGGGGATGTAGGCCCTCAAAAACCTCCATTTCCACACTGTCAGAATGAAAAAAAATAAATTTACCAAATAATTAACGTCAGTACAAAAATAGTTTTACACAATAACACTGAGCTTGACCATTCTTTTCGCAAGCTGCAAAGAATAGTCTAAGCCTTACTTTCACATTAAAATAGAAGAAGGACAGAAAAGGAATAATAATATTTTACTGTCAAAAACCTTGTATTCCCCGCATTCTCAAATACATCCCCACATATTTCCTTGATAGTTTTTTACCAAATAAATAAAAAGAACTGAAAACATGAAAGTATGCTGAGAGGCCGTTTTAACCCGCAATCCCGCCGTGCCGGTATAGGTTTAAGTTGGGTGGGGAGAGGGGCCTTCAAAAACTCAACTCTGTCGACTGTCAGAAATGAAAAAATAAATAATTTTACGAATCATTTAATCTCAGTACAAAAATAGTTTTGCACAACAACACTGGGCTTGACCATTCTTTTCGCAAGCTGCAAAGAATAGTCTAAGCCTTACTTTCACATCAAAAAAGAAGAGGGACAGAAAAGGGAATAATAATATTTTACTGTCAAAACCTTGTATTCACTGTTTGCAAAAACACATTACGATATTTTTTCCCGACGGTTTTTCTCTACAAAAAAAAAGAACTGACGAAATGGAAATGTGCTGATAGGCCATTTTAGACCACCCACCGATCAAGGCGGTGTAGACCTTCAAAAACCTCCATTTCCACACTGTCAGAATGAAAAGAAATAAATTT